TTTTTTTTTTTTTTAATTAAGTATTATTATTAGATTTAGTATGGTTCATCAACTCATTGATAATTTATTTGAAACGAATAACGCTAGTTTCATATTTGATCATACATATTCAGATTTTTTTAACCGTATTAATAATTAAAAAGGTAAAGGGTAGATATCATACGATTTAGGATACATTATCCACAAAAATTACAAGGTAATGACAGGTGTGTAATGTAACCAATGACGACTGACAGAGACAGCGCTGGCGGCTGTTATCGTTGTACCAACTGCAACATTTATATTTTAGAGAAATATTGCCGAAGAAAATACATTTTAAGTAATTTCGAAATGTTTGTACTTTAAATAACAAGAGAAAGCTATTCTTGAAAAGTTACTTAGTGTTTTGTAAAGCAGAGGTAACCGTTTTCTTTTATAATTTTAGGTGTAAACATGTGCTTTTATTAAGATGATGTAGATACGGTTCATCATATATATGCCATATTGATAGTCATAAACAAAATACAGCACAAATTCTAAATGCTCTTTCATAGATAGAAATTTTTAAGTGAACATGTCAACACAAGTGGTGAGAAATCTTACAAGCAATGCTTCAAGAAATGACAATCATAACCATCCGGTAAATTCCGAACAGGAATTAACAGGGACCTCTTATGCCCATGTTGTTCTGAGTTTCAAAGCAGTAGAAGACGAGGATCATCAGAGCAACAAAGAGAACTTAGAATTGGTCAGTCAGTCAAGTGATTCGTCCAGCAATAAAAAGAAATGTTTATCAAAGTCCTATACTGATGGTATGGTGAATTCTTCTTTAGATGATGGAGGCAATTTCACCCCTGTAGTCAGTCATTGTAGAAAAGAGCGTAAGCATGATAAAAAACGTGATAAATTTAAGGGAAAAGAATCACATGATAAACAGAAACATGCAGTCAGTGATAGAAACAATACTAATGTAGAAAAACGTGAAAATTCAAATCGTGAAATGCTCCAAAATATTGCAGTACAAGAAAACAACAAGAAAAGTACAAATGAAGTAAAAAAGGTGTTTGTTGAAGCCCCACTGCCGAAAGTAAATCCCTGGCAAGTAAATAAAAATGCAACACAAGCAATGTCTTCAAAAGAAGTATGTGAAACTACTGAAAGTATTGTGCACAAAGTTACAAATGGAGAACCTTGGAAAAAAGTTCAAAGTTCCAAAGAACAAAAGGTAATTTTTAGCAAGGGTATGGTCTTAATTTGTATAATATTGGTGTTATTGATTTAGATTTTTAATTTTTTATAATATAACTAACTGTTTATTTATAATCTATTTTTATATTAAATTGTAGGCTAGTGAATTTTCTGGTGCTAGTGATTGGCCATCTCTTGGAAACTGTACCCTTGAGGTATATTTTACTAATACATATTTATAAAAGTTAATACACTTTTATATTGTTTTGTGCTCTCATTTCAGAAAAAAGGCCTTGCATCAAAACAAGGTTCTGTAGCTGAACATGAAGAAGATTCTTCAGATAAAAAAAGAAAAACTAATAAACAGAAATGGGTACCACTAGAGATAGACTTAGCAAAAGGTAATCCAAGAGAAAATTCTCCAAAAAAAGGGGAAAGACACAATTCAGATGTGCATATGTCGGATAATGAGCACCTCTGTTCATATGCAAAAGATAGTGACAGTGCACTACCTAAAAAAAACTTGCCAAGAGAAGGCAAAAGTCGTAGTAGGGGAACAAAAGTGTTGCATTATAATAGATCAAATGCTAGAGCAAATAGTGAATCAAAATATTCTAGTAAAAGGAATGAAAACTTAGAGGTGAGTCTTATGTAACAGTATCCAGAATGTTGTATTTTATTTCAAAGTACCATAGTTTTTACTTTTTCTTTTTCCAGCACACACAATATGAAAGAGCTGATGGTTTTTTGATGCCATATATGGGCATGTTTTATTTTGGTGGTAACAGTTATAATAATCTGGATAGTCCCACTTTAAAAGACTATATTAAAAAGCAGATGTAAATTTTTGATTTTTAAACATAAATATTTGAATTTATTTAATCTTTTTTTTTATTACAG